TCCAAAAAAATTACAAATTTAAAAATTGACAAATTTTGTCATTTTTTTCACTTTTTTTTCTTAAAACTTCCATAACTTTTTCAAAAATCAACAAATCAACATAATTTTTTTTTATACTAAAACCTTAGATATTTCACTTTCATTTGATATCATTTTTTTGAAAATCTAACACATAGAATAAAGTTCGGGGGGGATTTAAAATTGCAACTTTTTTACAAAAACTAACTTTTTCAACTTAATTTNAAAGTTCATAAGACATATGAAATTATACTTATTAAAATTTTTTTACTTTTTTATAGTCGAAAAAGTAATTTTTAAATTTGGGTTAGCTTAAATAGCCAATTTTATCATGGAACAAAAAGCAACGAACAGTTGCCGAATGGGTAACACCTGAGTATTTCACGCTTGAGTACGAGATTCAAATAAAAAGTAGCTAAACAAGCTTTTTCCATACAAACAATTAAAATCATTAATTCCTAATATTCTTAAAGTATTTATTGTCGAATTAAATTTGATATGATAAAAGTATTCAACCACAAAAGTAAATAATTTTACTTTGTAATTTATTAATTTTTTAAATCTATTTGTGTGTGCTTCTACCAGTCTATAATATTCCAATTTTTTTGTAACATGTTGTTATATAAATTATAAATTAAAAAAAAAATGATTTTTAGTTTCACCTGAATTTAACGATGGATTTTTACAATTATTTTCAAATATTATAATACGCTCAATTTAGTTAATCTTTTTTTTATTGGTTTTCTTAGATATATAATTATTAAAATTAATTAAATTTTGAATATTTCCATTGTAGAATCTTTTTAAACACCAAAAGTTAATTAGAAATGATTACTATGATTTTTATTTAATTGTTCTATTACGATAAAAATGTAAAAAAAATCGAACTTTTCTGATAAATGTACTGTAAATTATAATTATAAAATTTCCTGATTGCATTAATCTGTAATTAATCTTAACAATTTAATTTTTTTCTATTTAATAATGTCAATTTCAAACTTGCAAGTTGAACTATAAGTTGTGGTATCAAATTCATTATTTTTTTTTATTAAAACTTTTACTTTGAAGGACAAAATAAAGTAGGTTCAAAATTATTACTTTTAACATATTAAAAATTAAAATCAATAATAATTTGAAAACAATTAATTTTAAAAATTATATACTATACTAGGCTCCGCCTAGCAGAGGCTCCGCCCCAGACCCGGAGCCCTTCTAGCCTTACGCGAAAAGTGTCTCAAGAATTTCGGGCGGCGCGCCCTGGCGTCTCGAGCCCATGAAAAAAAAAAGCTCGTAAAACGGTGAAAATTGAACGGATTGAATTGATTTTTTTATCATATCTCAGAAATGTCATTGCGTGGGTCTGGTGAAAATTTCAAACCTTGAATCGTAAAACGCNACGGATTGAATTGATTTTTTTATCATATCTCAGAAATGTCATTGCGTGGGTCTGGTGAAAATTTCAAACCTTGAATCGTAAAACGCTGGCGTCAGTGAGCGTTTTTCTCGAAAACGGTGGAAATTTTAAAACGCTCGTGGCAAAAATTTTCCAACCTTCGCCAATAATTTTCCCAGAGTCTGGTGACCGAGTACTTTCGTTGAAAAAAAATTTTTTGAAAATCCGAGCACGCTAAGTAATTTTCCCAGAGGAGCGTTTTTTTCCTTGATCTATTATAGAATAAGATAATTAAAATAATTACTAATCTGGGTATAATTAAGGAAATTGAAGTTGGTGTTGCTTTTGTAATTATCCATCAATTTCTCTAAATGAAACACTATCTACAGATTTGCATCGAAGCGTTTCTTATGATAGTGATTTTAATCACTGTCAGATATTATCTATACTTGTCCCATCTATGCCTCGTCCACACTGTGCCTCGACCCCACTGTGCTACCGTTTTTTTCTATTAATACCATAGGTATTTACCTATAACTTGGTTTGTTTTTTGAAAATCTAACCCTCTATTTGGCCAGGGGGATTCAAAATGGCAACTTCTGCACATAGAATCAACTTTTTCAGCTTAACTTTTGAAAATGTTCTGAAAATACTGATACTGCTATAAATAAAGGTATATTTAATATAGTTTAATTTGAAAAAAAGTAATTTATAAAAAACAACATTTTTAATGGATTAGAATAAATGGGTTTAAGCAATTCTTACATATACTTAGACTTTTTTTTACACAATATAAAAATGATTACACTTGAGTGGCCTATGTGATAAATAGAGTATTTTTTGTTAAACTAGTAATCGTTTGACATCATTAATACAAAACTTAAAAGTTTTCTTAGTCTTAAACCTCATTAACCTTTCAATAAACTTTAAAATTTTCAGTCCAGAGGTCAAATTTTTTTTTTTTAAATTAAAGTATATTACATTAGCTTTAATTTAAGATATATATAAAAGTGTCAGACCTTCTGGAACATTTTCAAAAGTTAAGTTGAAAAAGTTAATTTTTTGTGAAAAAGTTGCTATTTTAAATCCCCTCCTGTGGGCAGATAAAGAGTCAAATTTACAAAAAAAATATACCAAATGATAGGTAAAGACATCAAGCATCTATAAAAAAAAAATTATATTGATTTGGTCATTTTTAAAAAAGTTATGGCAACTTTAAGTAAAAAAATTTCGAAAATTAGCGATTTTTAAATTTGTAATTTTTTTGGAGGTTTCCCACATTTACGGAGAACGAGGGAAATGTTTTCAATTTTTAAGGGTAATATCTTCGAGTAGATACGATTTGTGATCTTTTGACGTATCGTTGAAAGAAATCCGTTCAGTGAGAGCTGAGAAAAAGTGGTAACAAACACAAAAAAAAACACATCATAGTAAAACCAATACCTTCTCAGCTTCGCATCGAAGCTAAAATGTATTAATATTTTTAATTTATTTGTTATTTAACATTATATTGCAATTTGAAATGAAAAAAAAATACTGACTTTAAAGATGGTATTCTTGCTACCACAGAATGTTGATCAGATACTGTTCTAAGTTTAGAATTATATTTACTAATTAATAACAAATTTTTCGTAAATAATTTAAATGACTTATAGAATGTCCCACCACCTAGTGGACATCTTTATTAACTTTTGATCCAGCAAATGTTTTGCGTTACTTTTATTAAATTATTTTTTACAGTAATGGACTACGTTGAAAGTATATTTCTTATTATTTATTTCTAATAAGAAGAAAATAATAATTTAATTTATTTTTCGACATAAATAAATAAAATATAATAGCCGTTTTATTGCAGAAAAAAAAAATGATGAGTCGTTAATAACCTAAGATAAGTCCTTAATAAATTATAAGCATTTTAATAAATAGAATAGTTTATAGCTCGAGTACAATAAGTATAATAAATATACACTAGTACAAGATTAATCCACCTGCGTTATATGTAACTCTATTTATTAAAATGCTTATAACATAATAAGTTTTTTCATCAAACTTTAAAAATTTAAGGAATTTAACAAATAATACAGTAGTAGGATAAATACAGTAAAATAAATATTTAGTGTACCGATAAGACTACCGGTGTATTGTATTGCAACGGGAAAAACTCGAGTACGCTTGCTTCTCTCTAACGTGAGAAATACTCACGTTCTCTAATCTTTAATGAATCATTGTTCGCTAATAATTGAATAAAAAAAAAAAAATTTGTTTAAACTAAATCTAATCTGATTATATATATATATATATAATTGGGTTATCATTTAAAAATTGATGTTGATACTNTCTGATTATATATGTATATATATATCATTAAAAAACTGATCTTGATACATGTTTGAAGCATAAGTAATGATCATAAAAATGTAATTTTACTCACTGAGCAGCTAAAGATAGATCCATAATATTTAAAAAAAGAAAAGATAACTCATATTTTCAGAAATAATTTTTGAGGCTTAGTTCATTAATCACCTTGTACATCAAAAAAATTAATATTATTATCAACAGTTGTAATTTTTCCAAATTTTTATTCTTCACTTTGTTTGGGTGAACACTACTTTTGTCTCAATAAAATCAATAACTGTAACTTTGATTAATCGACTATACTTCATTACAGAAATGAGATTAAACATCATGTGTTCACCCAGACAAAATGAAGAATAAAAATTTGAAAAAATTACAACTGTTGAAAATTGTAAGATTCACATTTACTATCAACTATTATACATTTACTATTACTAAAAGGGTGTCATCAAAAATTATTTATAAAACTAGCAATAATAAATATTTTAAAATTTTCTCGAATAAATAAATGCGTTAGACTTTATGTATTCATTAAGTATTGATTATTACTTTATAATAAAGATCTTTAAATAATATATATATTTAATTTTTTATTACTTTTTAGATTTCTTTTCTACATTAATTATGATGTAGTATAATATAATAAACAAAATATTATTTGTAAAATATAAAAATAAAAACATATTTGTTCTAATTAAATATATTTTAGCAAAATGTTATTTTATTGCTATTTATTTAAATAATTACAAATTTCAAATAAGTACAAAAATATATTAAAAATTTAATTGAATTACATAATTGAAAAAGAACAATTAAAAATATTTATAGCACAAAAAATCTTTAAATAAAAAAAATATACAGGGTGTTCAGTAAGTCAGGAAACGGGTTTCTATTGTTCTCATTGTTACAAACAATGAGAACAATATCATTAGATCTTAAATAAAAAAAAAATTCAAAAAAACAATTTTTATTATTAGAATAACATATAGCACATAAAAAATATAATAGAAAAAAATAATGTACAAAATGAATCATAGAAACGAAACTATTCATTAAATTGAAAATTCTTGAACGAAAGTTCATAAAAATTATTACCATCTTGAAAGTTGTTTATAATACAACAGAGTTGATTTTTGAACAATTATAAGTCATCCGCAGAGTATAGTTCAATAAAAATTTGTTTAAATTAAATCTATAGTCTCTGCGGCAAAAAATGTAAGAGTTATAAGGTAAATTGCTTGATCATGATTTATCAAAAGTAAATGTTTAGATGAGTTCATCAGATGAATCTAGATCTTTTTATCGTTTTTTCTTAGAAACTTTCTTTGTAGAGCTATTCGTAGATAACTTTTTATTTTTTGTAGGATTATCAGTTGGTGTATCAAAATTATTTATGCCATCAACATTTTTAGATAGTTCGATGTTATTTACTAATTTTTCTAGTTCGATTGTATTAATTGTTTTATTAAACGCATAGGAGTCTATAATTTCTTGCGGAATTCTTTTGAGCAACACAAACGGATCTATAAATATCAAAATTATAAATTAAATTTTTGATAACAATTTTATACAAAATAAATAATTTTTATATTAAAAAGTAATTATATTATTATAAAATGACGAAACCTTTTTTATAATCACCATTAGAACTTTAAAAAAGAATATATAAAAATATAGTTTAAAAAAACTAAAAAACACTCTTTTAAAGAACATCGAACTAAAAAGTTAAAAATAATTTTTAAAATAAGCGTAAAACAATAATGAA